ACCAATGCCTGACGTGGCCCCGGCGTGCTCTGCCCTGGGGAGCCTGTCGTGCAGGCACCCTCCCGTTATCCTAGCTACAAGCTGCCCATCCTTCAAGGGTCAGCCCCAGTCCCATTCCTTCAAAAGTGTGCCTTCCAGTCTGGGCTGGGGGCCTTTTGCCAGTTCCCAGGAGAGTTGGAGAGCTGGGGTCCCAAGAAAGAGCCCTTGGTCGCTGTCCTCTTATATCCTCCCCCTGGAGAATGTTACGTCCTCACTGAGATCGATAGTCCTTCGAGAACAGGGGCCGGGTTCCCCGGCTTTTAACTTAGCGTGTATGTCTCACCAGCGCACGTGCCTTGGGCAAGGTGCACAGTGGCACCCTAGTAGACTGTCTTTAAGCGGAGGTAGCTGTCACCCTACTGAGGGAGATGACCGGAAGGACTTGGAACGAGAACCCGCCCCGCCCCCCCCGCCCTTCACCGGCCCTTACCGTGAGGACCCTGGCAGCTGCACCCAGCCCGGGCTTCATTCAGGAGGGCTTAGTTTGTCGGGAAAGGAAAAGTCGTGGCTCCCTGGCAGACCCTTTTCAAAAACCGCCGCCTCGTGCGCTCTGCCCTTGGATGTTTTTTTCCCGGTTTTATTGAGATGCAATTGACGTACAAAATCGTGTAAGTCGAAGGTATACACATGGTCTGATTTGCTCTTAGCTGTTTACCAGGGCCTATGGCCAGTGCCTTCCCAGCCCTCCCCGGGTGCCACGCCGTCCGGCCCGGGCCAGGGCGCCAGGGTGGTAGCTGATTGTGGGAAGTGGACGGAGGCACGGTTGTGTGTCCCTGCAGAAGGATGCCCCACCTGGGAGAGGAGGCGGGTCTCCTCACAGCAGAGAAGAGAATCGGGGAGCTAGTGCCTGGCTGTGCAAAGACACAGAGAGAACGGTGTTAGTTGAAACACAACAAAAACCGCTCCCACAGTTCCTTTATTTACTTGCTTGTTTATTTTAAACAATGATGGTCTCAACGCCCAGATCCGCTAGGTCGCCTGCATAGCAGGATCCTCTTCCAAACCTTGTGACTTTAAAAACTGCTGAGCAGGAATCTCGGTGCCCTCCTTGGCACATCAGGGAGAGCAGGGCCACAGCCCCCGCCCCACCCGGGACCGGTGGCCAGTGGGGAGCATTGGAATCGGGGCGGTTAATTTTCAAAGCGAGAGATGTCACCTCATGGCCCTGCCTTGGCTGACCCACGGTGACTCAGAGAGCCAGGCCTGCGGCCCATTTTAAAACCTGTGAACTAGCAAAGCTTAAAAACCAGCTGCAGGAGACTGACCCTTCTCCCTTTTTTTTTGTCTTTTTGTCTTGGGGGGCCTGACCCTCCTCCCGTCTGGCTCTTCCGTCCCTGAAGAAAGAGAATCCAGCGCGGTAAGTGTCAGCACGCTGGAATCTGGGCTGTGGGGGGTGGGGGGGGGGGGGTATTGTGGGAGGAGGAGGGGACCACGTGGGATCCTGGTGGGGGTTGTTGTTACGAAACAGGAGTTGCACCTGTTGAGAGTGACCTTCGGTTGGGGAAGCTGTCATCTCTCCAGCCTTCCTGTCCATCATTTGGCAGATGAATAGTTTTCAGTGAGCTCTAACTCTCTTTTATGAGGTGATTAACCAGAGAGGTCAGCTGGCCAGCCCGTGGAGTTACTGGGCCCCCCACAAGTACTGGGGGGGGGGGGGCTCCTAAGGTCCTGTGGGCTGCCCCCCCCACCTGATCCTGTATTCTTGCTTCCTCCGAACGCCTGAGGTTTCTCCTTGTTCTGGGCTTTAACTCAGTTTAAGAAAGTGCTAGCGAGCAGGCATCAGGGCCAGGCTGTCTGCGTGTCTGCCAGCTCTGAGATTTGCTGTAAATCTTTCTGATCACACTGAGGCTCAGAGGTTCTGTTTCAAGTGAATAAGCCTTCTGAATAAGCGCAGTGGAGTCTGGATAAAAAAAATCCTGCAGCGATTAGCAAAGCTATTTTATTCCTCATCGCTGTCCTTGTATCTGGGGCCATCTAATCTGTTAGGATGGCTTTGGTTATTACCTCGTGTTAAGTAGGACTTGGAAGGTCAGGCAGTTAACTAACCATCTAGACGGCAGCTTCCTCGGGCAGCCCCTCCATTCCGACCCCCTTCCCTCCCGGCCCTCCTCCCGGCTGACTTTATAAACCATCCAATTAGCCACGGTGCTCTCGGCCCCCCGCGACTGGCCCGTGTGCTCTGGGTCCACATTTGGGCCCAGTGACGGCTGGCTACCTCAGAAAGGAACAACTAAAGCTGAAAATCCGTCTCGATTGCTTTAGTGTTGATCCTCCAAAAGGTGGCCATTTTTGCAGAGGTGGTCTGTCTAGATAGGACTGGACCCCTCAGGGCTCGGGGCTGGTCCTGGCTTCACGCAACACCGGGGAGCTCTCTTGGCCTCTCTGGGCGCCAGTTTCTATACCTGTGACACGGGCATATTCCCGCCCAGTCAGCCTCTCAGCCTGGTTAGGAAGCCCCCTCGGCACAGAACGTGGCATCGAGGAGATGACCCGGTGAACAAGGCACCTGCCGTGGCGTGAACCGAGGGTTTGAAGCCCGACGCCCTCTGTCCTCCTCCCCATTGCTGTTTGCGTTTGGCTTTGTGCCCCCGTCTGTGAAAGCTTTCTGCGCAAAGAAGCTCCCCGGGGGGACCCCCAAGAGCTGAGCTCTTCACCCTGCAGCACCCACACGCATGCACGGCAGACTCCGAGCAGAGGGGGCACGCTCCGGCCCCGGGAGAGTCCGGTGGGAACGAATCGAGACGCCATCCGGCCCGGGGCCCGGGCGCCCGGCTCAGGGCGGGCGAGGCCGTAGGGCCGTGTGCCTGTGGCCGCGGCGTCCGAGGAAGTGTGCGGCCCCTCGCGGACCAGGTTGTCAACAGATGAGGCCCCCGCAGGAAGGACAGGGCCGCGGCCGGGTGGAAGGGGGCTGGCTGGACGGGCTGGAAGCCGTCCCAGAGGGCTTAGTCTGGAGTCCAATTAGAGGTAGCTTCATTCATATTTCCTTGCCTCGCCGAAGCAATAAAAAATACTTAGTTTTTTGGCCGCCTGCCAGCCAGAGGCGGGCTGGATCGATGCCGCTAAATGCCTGACAT